GAACTTAAACGATGAAACTTAATTATGAAAAACTTGCACACAGGTAAAACTTGGTCACAGCAGTTCTTGACTTCAACAATCACTCAACAAACACCAAACTTGGCCACAAAAAAAACTCAACAAAACTTCGCTCTATTCGCGAATCACAAAATTTTAATTGACAAGATCATATCTGATCGTGATGCAGTACATGAATATGATTTTTACTGGCCAATCATAATCTAACAACTAAGATCGGCGATTTGCATATCTGTAACCAATAAGGTAGAACTTCTGTCATGCTATTCAAAACTAGTTCAGATAAAAATCGAATTTTTAATTATTAATTATTAAGTAACTTGATGACAGTTTTAGCTATCAGTATTGTGTTGTACCGTTGTTATTAAACCAGTTTCAAACAAAGAGTTGTGAACTAATTCAGAATCAAAGTTTTTAAAACTGGATCTAAACAACTTTTAACATCTCTAAATCAAATACGATACAAAAAAGAAGTATTTTTGGCATTATGTTCAGAATTCTAGACAAAGAAAATTTAGCCCTCAATAATCAGTACATAAATATAATTTGGTTCATTCGTTCTTTAACCAGTTCAAGGCTAAATGTTTGCAGAAAGGGCCACAAATTATTTAGAATTAACATTGCATGATTTAAAAATAACAATACAATCGATTACTATATTCAAATAATTTATTGTTTAAGCCAAAATAATTTGTTCTATCGTGTTATAGATAATAGCAAATAGATCAAAATTAATAATACAGAAATAGAAGCTTCAGAATCAGGATCTAATTCTATACAGTATAGTATAATAGCAATCAAGGTTAGCAATTAAGCGATGACTATCGCTATGAAAAAATAAATTACTGAATCAGGTATCACACATTAAAAGTTAGACTAACAATCTTATACAACACAAAATACAGGAGTAAGTGTTACTTCGGATGCAAAGATATAATATGCAAAGTTTCAATATGCATTCATATCTTTGCTTCGCTATATGCATATATCTAATAAGATGCAAGATTAGCCATTTAAATTGTTATATAAAATTTTCAATATCACTCTGTTCCTAATAATGCCGAATAATAAAAAACATACAGGTGGATAACCAAGACATAATCTCTCAAAGTATATAATTTTCACAAATGAATATGTGAATCCAGAAAAACCGAATGATAAATGGTGTCTATGTTATTATTGTGATAAAGTCAATGAAGAAGTAAAGATTGTTAATAGACGAGAGTTAGTACAAAATCATCTTCAAAAATGTAACAATTTTTTTAATGAACTTGGGCTTGCTGAAGCAGAAAAAAAGCTTCAAGAAGCTGAACAAGAGTATATAACTCAACAACAAACAAGAAAAATAAAAAAAAGAAAAAGTTCTGAATTTCAACAATATGAAACGTCTTATACAAATTTTGATAATAGTAAGTTTATAATTATTATATAGCTTAATATTATTAATTATACATATATATTAATTATAATAATAATAATATTTTACTAATTTTTATATTAAAAGCCTTTGAAATCGATTCTGATAATGATAATTATGATTCAGTATCTATTTACTCAGAACAAACCACACAATCGGCTGAATCTACTATAAGTCAAAATACTAATTTATCGCAAATGTCTAATCCAAATAAAATGATACATTATTTAGCTTGTACTCTTACTTACAAAGAACAAACTCAATTTGAAAAGGATATTCTTAATATGACTATTGAAAATGGTTGGTCTTTTAGATGGGTAGATAGCAAATCTGTTATTGCACATTATCGGTGGCTCAATCTAAATCTTATTTTACCTAATCGCAAACAACTTGCTGGTCGAATATTAAAAGAAGCAGCTGAAAAACTGCAAGATGTTTTAAAAAGTAAAGCACAAAGAGATTCAAATGGTGTGATGCTAGTATTTGATGAATGGAAAAATGTAACTAAACAAGAAATTTTAGGATCAATACTTGTTACATCAAAAGGCGAAGTACTAATTTGGGAAGCTAAAGATATTAGTGGTGAACAAAAAAAGTGGGAAAATGTAATGAATATAATAGAATCTTTTTTTGATATATTTGAAACAGAAAAAATTAAAGTTATTGGTCTTATAACTGATAGTGCTTCTTCATATGCAACAGCAAAGTAAGCTTAAAATTTTTATAGCTGTTTGTAAAATTTTAATATTATATGCTTATATATATAATAATCGGATGATTGTATATATAAGCTACAACTTATAAATATTAATTTGTTTGTATTAATATAATTTTATATTTTAATAGACGATGATTACGATTGAAATATACAGACAAAATTTTTTTACCTTGTTTTGCTCACCAACTTAATTTATGTGTTGGCGAAATTTTTAAAGAATCTTGTGAATTTAATAATGCTTCAAAATTAGCTATTATAGTTGTATCCTTTTTTAATAATACAAATCATTCGTATTTTATCAAGCAATTTCGTGATGAGCAGTATTCAATATATAAAAAATATATTGCACTTGCTAGTCCAGTTGAAGTCAAGAACTGCTGTGACCAAGTTTTACCTGTGTGCAAGTTTTTCATAATTAAGTTTCATCGTTTAAGTTC